CGCACCATTTTTTATACTTCTCCTTCCCAAGAAAGGAAATTGTTTTCCCACCGTTTCTTTCTTTCTTTCTTTCTTTCTTTCTTTCTTTCTTTCTTTCTTTCTTTTCTTTCTTTCTTTCTTTCTTTCTTTCTTTCTTTTTCTTTCTTTCTTTCTTTCTTTCTTTACCTTTCTTTCTTTTTTTTTTCTTTTCTTTCTTTCTTTCTTTCCCAAGAATTGTATAGCGCACCATTTTTTATTTTCTTTTCCCAAGAAAGGGAAATTGTTTTCCCCACCTTTCTTTCTTTCTTTCTTTCTTTCTTTCTTTTCTTTATACCTTTCTTTCTTTCTTTCTTTATACCTTTCTTTCTTCATTGTATAGCGCACCATTTTTTTATTTCTCCCTCCCAAGAAAGGAAATTGTTTTCCCCACCGTTTCTTTCTTTCTTTCTTTCTTTCTTTCTTTCTTTCTTTCTTTTTTCTTTCTTTCTTTTCTTTTCTTTCTTTTTTTTTTATACCTTTCTTTTCTTTTTTTGTTGCATAGCGCACCATTTTTTTTTTTTTCTCCCTCCCGAAAAAGGAAATTGTTTTTCCCACCGTTTCTTTCTTTCTTTCTTTCTTTCTTTCTTTCTTTCTTTCTTTCTTTCTTTCTTTCTTTCTTTATACCTTTCTTTAACTCATTGTATAGCGCACCTTTTTTATATTTCTCCTTCCCAAGAAAGGAAATTGTTTTCCCACCGTTTCTTTCTTTCTTTCTTTCTTTCTTTCTTTCTTTCTACCTTTCTTTCTTTCTTTCTTTCTTTCTTTCTTTCTTTCTTTCTTCATTGTATAGCGCACCATTTTTTATATTTCTCCTTCCCAAGAAAGGAAATTGTTTTCCCACCGTTTCTTTCTTTCTTTCTTTCTTTCTTTCTTTCTTTCTTTCTTTCTTTCTTTCTTTCTTTCAAACTCTCTGTTAATATTCTCTGGCACGAAACCAAAGTTTTCTCATCAATGGCCCGTTGATGATATTCATTGACTTTGTGGCAAACATTTTTGTCTTTTCATCTTGTTGAATATTAGCCAGCTCGTGGCTGATCTTCAAACAACATTTCTCCAAAGCCTGAAATGTTAATGCCTTTCTTTAAAATTGTGTAGTACCTAAAGTCTCTTCCTTAAATATTCGCGAATTATGAGATAACTTTCAGTAGTTGTTGCCCTCGGAAAAAAAATCGGTCAGAGTGTTTGTTCTTTTCAGTAATTGCCATACATACTTGCAAATACCCGAAAATAAAAACGAGGGAAGCCAAATTAATTAATTCCAAATTAATTAACCCCAAAAATATACGCGTGCCAAGCAGATTCTAAATATTAAAAAATACTGATTGGATGTACACAATTTAATTAATGCAATAAAATAGTCATAAGTAAAAGTAAAACTTTACCTATAATAGTTGGTTACAAGAAAATAAAATAACTGAAATAAATAAAAAATAAGCCAAACTATTTTAGAATAAGTTAAAATCCCATCGCTCTAACTCGTCAGAATTCGATCGAGAAAATTAAAATAATATGTCTATCGAGTAAAAGAAGGAATCGGGAGATTCATCCTTTGTTTTTCCCGGGTTTATGAAATTTAAACCTGACAGTAATGTCTATACAATAAAAATAGTTTCAATGCTACTGTTTCAGACGATGGTCGTGGACAGATTTCTGCCTGTGTGTTTTCAAATTCATCATGGATTCATGTGATACTAAAGTTTGTACGACGAAAGAAATACCGAAAAATTTTATTAGAAATACAGAACTTAATTTTCTTAGATGAAGCATTATCAGTTATTATCCCTTTTTTGACTAGTATTTATTTCATATTATTTCTCCTGTGTTTATATCAAGTAGTAATAGATTAAGATGCCTGGGTTTCTTAGGTGAAGCCTTGGCAATTATTATTCATTTTTGACTAGTATTTCTTTCATTTTATTTCTCTTGCTTTTCTACCAATTTGTAATAGTTATAAGATTTTGAATTTCTTACATTAAGCATTGTCAATTATTATTCATTTTTGACTAGTATTTCTTTCATCTTATTTCTCTTGCTTTATCACTAAGTAGTAATAGTCTTAAGTTGTTTGACTTTCTTACATTAAGCATTGGCAATTATTACAAATTTTTGGCTCGCATATCTTTCATATTATTTCTCTTGCTTCTCTACCAAATAGCCTTAAGTTTTTGAATTTCTTACATTAATTATTGTCAATTATTACTAATTTTTGACTAGTATTTATTTCATCTTATTTCTTTTGCGTTTACACCAAATAGTAATAAGCTTAAGTTGATTGAATTTCTTCGATTAAGCATTGGCAATTATTATATATTTTTACTAGTATTTATTTTTATTTTTATCTTGCTTTTACACCAAGTAGTAAAGTGTCTTAATTGTAGGAATTTCTTAGATGCAATAAAAACAGAGAGAATTAAAAGGGACTGGAAGAACATATAGTAGAAGGCAATAAAAAAAAGAAGAAAAAACGAAAGGAGAAAAATAGGATGAAATCAGCTAACACTGATTTCTCCACACTCGTCAGAAATTGACCGAGGAAATTAAAATATTGTACATCCGACTAAAAATGGTAAATACAAGAAAAAAATACACAGACATCAATAATATATCGAGACGGGTCTACGTCCTTACAAACAAACATTTTGTTTGTATATCACTGGTTTAATAAAAATCGTTAAAGGAGTTTTAAGCGATAGTTGGAATGTGAAAACTGGCAAAATCTCATATTTTAATAATGTGTTTACTACAGCGAAATCGGGTTTGCATGAACTGTGCAAAAAAAAAAAAATGTTGTTCCTTGAGGATCGTGTCTGTCCAATGGACTAACTTAGTCAATTTGACAGATACGATCCTCAAGGAACAACCTGATCTATAGAATGTTATCTCTGAAACTAAATCCAGGGCTTTCTCACTTCTGTTGGGTGTAGTCATAATCACGCTCGGTAATATGCGGATTGCCGAGGGTATTCAACCCATAGTCGAGGTGGATGACTCTGAGGAGTTCATCCGCTCTCTAACAGCTCTCGCTTTTTGCGCTGCTAGGGCACAGGGATACGTCCCTGAGGCAGGTGGTATCACGGCTATGACTTGCTTGGAAGAGCTCTGACATACTTGGACAGGCAATGACTTGCTAAGACCAGCTATGACTAGCTTAGACGAGCTCTGACCAACTTCGACAAGCTGTGACCAGCTATGACCAGCTTAGACCAGCGGCCCGAAAGAAAACACTCGGGCCTCCACGTTCACTGACCTTGTGCCACAACCTGACTCAGTGGTGGTGTGGGGGTTCAATTAAATCGCCTTACCCTCCTCATCAGACCAGTGTTTGGTAGTGGAGTCGGTTTAGTCGATGACCAATCTAATTTTGAATTCCGAGTTGTTCTTCTCCTCAAGCGGTGGTCATCCAAATCTATAGGACCCAATCTGGCGATTTTTATATTTTTTGAATGTTATCTAGATCAGTAATGGGCCTCATATAGTTCTGAATAGCCCGCCTAATTTCATTTGGAAAATAACGTTTATCAAAATGTTTGGTTCTAAACTGTTCATTCATACACTCTCATGGATAACCATAAGAATAAAAATGTTCAGTGTTTCTTGAATTTTGTAGTATTTTATTGAAGGTACCGTTGTCAGAATTTAAAAACATTGGCGATTTTCAATACGGGAGATCATACGTGTAATCATCTTTTGCTTCAGAAACAGGAAACGTTAATGATAATTCTTCTTTTATAAATATTTTTGACTACTCAAATGAATAAACAAGAAACAAATCATATCGAGCAATGTGTGTTAATTACGCTGTCATCAGTGATAATATTATAACAATATTTCAATTCTTTTGTAGTTATATAAGGAATCCTTTCTCCAAAGAAAAAAAGCAATTTTTCACCATTTCTAAGGCAGATGCTTTTGTTGGGAAAATGGCTGCGCCATCTTTAATAAGAAAAATACATTAATTCTTTTAGTAGTGTGGCACACCTTATGATGTACTTTACCTTATGCAAACCACTGTTCAAAAATGGCTGCCTGTGCCTTTTATAAAGGAATCGAAAAAATAACTATGAAAATAATGTTTTTGGACTGCAATGTAATATCTACTCAGGGATAAGGTAGTAAATGCTGGACATCGTTCCAGAAAAAAGGTAAAAACTTGAGACGACAGAGATTTTCTACAGACGAAAGTTCAGAATATACCGGACAGAAAATATAGGAAACTACGAAGTCTTACGGAGAACAGAAAGACAAATTTACAAATTTTCCCCATTTCTAAGGCAGATGCTTTTGTTGGGAAAATGGCTGCTTGTATCTTTAATAAGTAAAATACCTTAATTCTTTTAGTACATCGAACGCCTTATGATGTACTCTACCATATACGGCCCACTCTTCAAAAATGGTCTCCCTTGCCTGATCAAATCTAATTTTATGCCATGCGTGATACATGACTGACGAGACATATTTTCCCGCAGTAGGTTGCCATTTTTACTGCGTTAGAACAGTTTCCATCCAAGGCTATAGAACAGGGTCCGTCCTTCTATTTACCCATCGCCGCGGAAGGAGAAGAAGAGTATTAGTACATAAATGAATGTGATGAATTCGACTGGAATTCGAACTCGGTCCTCCGATTCCTTAATCCGAGTTGCTATCCATTACTCCACCGTAAAACGCTTCATTCTTCATGGACCTTACAACTAGTTTTTTTTTTTGTTTGTTAATTTTTTTCGGCAATTATCATCAACAAGAGCATTTTGTTATGTTTGGTGACAGATGGATTTTTGGTTTGTGACGACTTTATTTGTTATGGGCAAAACTGTCGGTTTATTGCACTGACTACATTCCACCCATATGTCTAATAGATTAATGGTCATTATATTTGAGGCTCAAGAGCCATCCAATGCAGAGGGTTACTGAAGAAATATTTTTTTGTGAGCGGTGAGACCAAGAGGCAAGAAGCATAGTTTTATTAGGGTATATGGGGAAGATAA